TTTTTTTTATTTCAGTGGTATTTTTAATGTCATGATTTAAGTCCCCAGCCCTCAACTCTGTCGATTTAGGTTCTTTTTCATCATGTGCTTCCAGTTTCTGTTCTTTCAGTGCCACAAACAAGTATGACTTTTAAAGGCAGCTGTGGCTGCAAGAGGCTCAGAATTTCAATATTATGTTTTATTGATTGACAAGCTGCTTTCACATTTATGCAACATTTTATTAATTTCAGAGAGTTTGGTTTATTTTGTAATGATCCAGATTTCTAAGTACTGAAAGAAGTATAGTTTCTCTTCAACTGTCAGGTTCAAAATCTGTAATTAACAGGATACAGAATTATGAAACTATCTTTTTTTTTACTTACTGTTTCTGTCTCAAATTCTGTTTTCTTAAAAATTTGAGGTAGATATATAATGTTAACAAAGAGGTGAGTTAAAGTAACAATATTGACTGCTGATGCTAAATTGTATGTGGAAGAAAAATGGAGAGCAGGCTGCAAAGATGTTCGAAGGCTTTGCAGCATTGAGGGACTCAATCATAAATTGGCATGTAAAACTCAAAGAAAGTAATAGTAGAGTGATGCAGAGTAGGAGTAAAAACAAAGCAAACATTATGTATTTCGTGCTGGACTCTGGACTATCTATTACTGTTGAGGAAAGTGGTCTTGGAATTACAGATCAATGAAAACATACACTCACTGTTAAGTACCAGTCAAATAAACAAATGAAATTTAGGAATGATTAGAAAGAGAACAGGGAACAAAGAAAAAGCATGTTAATGTCACTATTATTAATGAAACCATATTGTATCATCTTGAATAATGTGTACTGTTTTGGTTTCCACATCTCAAAGTGGATCTAATAGTACTGGAAAAGGTTCAGAGGAGGTGTCAAGAGTAATCAAGAGCACTGGGCATCTTCCAATTAAAGTGTGACAATGTTGAATTCAATTTGAAAAAGGCACAACTGAGATGAATTATGTCTTACTCTGTACTCTATACAATCATGAGTGGAACAGAAAAGATTAATAGGGATTTACTTCTTTATTTTACTCTTCAGTGTGCAAACTAGAGCATCAAACCTATCTTGATAGCAAGTTTGAAAAGGATAGAAAGGGCTAATTCTATTACGTGATTACAGTTTGAACGCTCTGACACAGTATTTAAACAGTCTGAAAATTAATTAGAAAGTTGATTGAATAAAAATCCATGAAGTGAGTCAGACACAACTATGTGTCTGAAAGTTCTTGAGCTCCAAGATGCTGAAGTCTGGGAAAGCCACTGGCTGCCCTGTTATACTTTTCTGTAGGCATCTGTTGTTGCCACAACTGTAGTCACATACTTGACTAGAAAAAACTTTGATTTAATCCAACTAGACAGTTTCTACTTTACTGTGCTCCCAGATGTGAATTAATAGAAAGAGTTATTGTAAAACATTGTAGATTGAATGAGATTGATCTAGAATGAAGCTGTATTTTTCCCTTGGCTCTTTCTGTAGCTCCCTTTCTGATGTTATCTTTCTTTAAAATTACCAGGCTACATTGCTTTTCCAGTACAAGTTATTATCACAGTTTCCATGGTTAATACTGTTTGGGTTTTTGTGCTTAGCGCCTTGCAGATCACTGTCAGGCCAAATCCCAAAGCTCCTGTTAGTTTACGTAAGGCTCAACAGTCAGATCATATTTAGTATCAAGACACTGTACTTTTCCTGAGCATTGTAACTCTTTGGATTCAGACTATGCAAGGCCGTGCCATTGTTGAAAATTAAAAATGAACTACCATGGAATCTGAAATTGGCAAAACCAAAAGCTGCTTAAAAAAAATAAAAGCAAACAAGATATTTTGTACGTGCGTAGCTAAATGAAGAAACTGAGATCCAGCCACCCAGCTTCTGCTGTCTGGAGTTGTCGTGTCTATGCAGAGTAGTAAAGCGCTGTGTGGAATTATTAGCTCCTTTCTGGAGGTAGAATCACTTTATATTCCTTGTGTTGTGAATGGTGTTAACATGCTCTGTGTCTCAGTTGATGCATCAAGAGCGGTGTGAATTTATGTGCATCTGTTATTTTCATGCTCCTTTTTCTGGGATGTTCTGAATGCTAAAAATGTACATAAATTCAAAGACAACTGAACTAAGCAAAGGAATAAAAATACTCTAAGTACTGTTATATATAAAGGCATCTCCTACATTTCAGCAAGTTGAGGTGCAGACCATGCAATGCTGGGAGAGCATTCTCAGGAGCTACCGCTGTTTGTTTATCCTCTTAATCCTTCAATATGCATTGTGTTTTGTTGGAAATGTTATATTTGTTAAACTGGTATGCCTATTGTTATGGTTTTCTGCACTGTATTTTTCTGAGCTTTGTGCAGATGTGCCCCTTGAGTCACTAATTAGAAAGAAGAAAAAGAAAAAAAAAACAACCTGTGATACAGTTATTTTTTATGTAAATGCAGTTGGAGGCATCCTCCACTGTTCATTCTTCTTTCCCTGGGGAAAAGTTCAGAGAATAAATACCTGGCAGACCTTACTCATGTTGCTATGAATAAGCGATAGTATCAATCATTTGACCTATTATAGGAGTTTGTCTTAGAATGAGATTAACTTGGCAATAATCCTATCGAATATACTTTATTACTTGAGAGAATCTTACCAAGAGATTGTCCCAGGAAAATGCTCCATTGTTCTATACTTAATTTTCAAGATCTGTATAACTGGTGAGAAGTCTGTAAGGCTTCATATATGGCCTTGACTTTCAGGGATCTGAAGTGTGAAAATAGATTGTGTGCTGCACACATCTTCAGTCTGTTTTCAGATGTGACATTCAACCTTTTGTCATTTATAAGACATACTATAGCTGACAACTTAATTTCCCATTCACTAAATGCTGCAGTGGTTTTGCAACAGTTGTGCTGGCTAATAGGTGCAGAACTAAGTGGTGTAGGCTTCTAGGAGGTTCTTGCCATTTGAGAGGTTGGACCTGCCGTGGGCTAATACAAAGTACAAATTTTAAGTCTTGGTGACTCTAGGATGGCGTAAGAATAGCCTTAACACCCATCTGTTCTATTTTTTGATGTAGTTCTGCAGTTTTGCTGTTTTATCTACTGCAGTTCTTGAAAGCAGCCGAAGTAAAAATGATGTTTCCACTGAGTGGCAACACACCATAGTGTGCCTGTTGTCTCATGTATCTTGGCAAAAACAGTCAATGTGACAGTGCTAATGACCAATCTAGAAAGTCAACAGTCAAACGCAGTCTCTGTGGAGCCCTGCCTGAGGCCCTCAAATTCGCAACAGAGTAAATCATGGACACTATCACATATATAACTCTCTGCTTGATGTCTGAATACCTTGTTCCTTCATCCCTGTCCTTTCTCAGGGAACCATTTTACAAGATATTTTTAAAATAGTAGATTCTACTTAGGACAACAGAAGAAATTCTTGAGAGTATCAGAGGAGAGAGTTCTGTGGTGTGTGTTTACAGTTGTAAACACAATAAGAAAATTCTTGTAAAGATTAAGAGGGCAGTAGTCCTCCCTTGGAAGGAAACTCACTTCGTTTGTAGACTACCAGAATATATGGAATACATTGCCATGATCCCCCTACTGCAATCAGGACTGATTTGTAGCTCAACCTTCTGGGGACACTACTTCAAGGCATTTGTCAAATCATGCTACAAGAAGAACTGGAATGTTCTGGTAAATCAGAATCACTATGCCTGTGAGACCTTATGCCTTGGCCTTCTGGAGGTGTTCAGTAAAGTCTGTGAGGACAGAAGAAATACATCAAGGGAAGCACTGTGTTAGCCTACTTTTTGGCGATTAGCAAGTGAAATTGTCTCTGGATACGCTTCTGAAGCCATTTACTATAATTGGATTACAGCCAGAGTGCTGGCTGTATTGCATGAGAAATTAAATCTGCCCTGAAGTGAAGGTTTGAGGTGACTGGAGTGCTCCAAGGTGTAGGATGACAGTTGCCTATCTGCTGCAAATCAGGCTCCAGAAATTAAGCAACCTTGACCTGGCAGTTAGACTAGCCTCATCATGACGACAAGAACTGATTGCTTTGCCATTACGAATGGCCTTCACACACAATTGCTGTGTGCGGGGTCACACCGCTGGTGTAACCTGAGCAAGGTTGGTACACTACTGGAAAGTATTCCTATTAAAATAAGTTTGATGATTTTCCTAGTGTTCCTATCATACTGAAATGGTGAGAGGACTCTCCA